CCTTAAGTACAAGTTGAAAATGCAAAGAACTGGTGGCCTGTGAATAATCCTAGGAACTTTTCTCTCTGTGAATCCAGTCAACAGCCTATGCAAGTAGTTTTGCATTTGCAAATTTGGAAATTGACCAAGTGCTTAAGATGTATCCATTGGGAGTGCCAAGGGTCTACTGTAGTGAATCTTGGTTGAGGAAGCTTTCAAAATTCTTTTGTTAAATTCATTCATTCTTGTCAGGGTTTCTCTGATCTTAAGATAGTTTCACCATCTAATGTCAAGTCTGAGAGTTCAGTGAATGACTAAATAGACTAAAGTCGGTGACAGGCTCAGCAGAGCATGTCATGTATTTATAACACTGCTTTTAATTTTTTTCCACCTCTTTCTATTATCTGTTCCTCAGCTTTGCCTTGGATCCCAGTTATGCAGAAATAACTGTTCTTTAAAAGTTCACTCTGGACCTCTCTTCAAGGATCCAAGAATGCTCAGAGAGATTCCTCGGACTAACTTCCCTGTCCTTCTGCCTGGCCTCACTCGTCAGATCTGCGGAGCATTATCACATCGTTTCTAGGCCCATCTGGATATAAAACTCCACCTTTCACTTTTCACAAGAATCCCAGCCACATCTGGCATTCAGTAATGCTTGTAAAGAAGAGAGAAGTTCCACTGCTCATTCGCACGAGATGGCCATGGCTGGAAAAGCCCACCCTCACCGTCCTGTCCCCAAGGAACAAGAACGTGTTCCCCACAATGAGTCTCCTCTGATCTTAAGATAGCTTCACCAACTAATGTCAAGTCTGAGAGTTCAGTGAATGACTTCCAAGCTCCCTGGGATTCCAAGGAATCCTTTCTTCTCCATCTTAGTACAATAGGACCTTGTACTTACATACATGGAACCTTTAGAGAGTTCTGAGCAATTCTGGTTATACTCAATGATCTGATGTTGAGAGTTGCTTTTAGAAAAATTAAGAATTTCTTCCCATAGATTACCAAAACAATGAATTTATGTGTATGTAGAAAGTGAGTATTATTCTTCTCTTAATTTTAACAAGGTTTTCGCATGTTGCACATACTGCATTTTTAAAATACTCCCTAAAAAATGAAAAAAAAGAGGAAAAAACAAATAAATAAAAATACTCCTTAAAAAGCATCAGCATTTCATTTTCCTAACCTTTTTTTTTTTCCTGTTACCTTTGTTTTGGAGCAAACTATAATTGCAAAAATCAGCAGAGGGTCTAGCCAAGCCGAGTATCACTCACATAAGTCAGCTGTCCTTCCAGTTTTGAGTATAAAGTCTAAATTAAGGAAACACGGCTGCCGAGCATGGGGTGTGGCCAAACATCTTGAACTCATTTCTCCGATGGCAAAGGACACTGGCAATGATAAATCCACATTCCCCACACAGATGCAGAAAAAAATGCTACTAGGGAACACCTCTCCTGATCCCTTTCCATCAACTCTCTTCCAACACCAGTATTCAGGCTGGAAGGGCCTAAGAGTGTCCTCTGGTCACAGGACAGACTGAGGTTCTAATGTCTCCTTAGTATTTTCTGTAGCATGAAATGTTGAAACATAACCACTACTAATAATAGCATAATAGTTTTCCCTAATAAATTTCAACAAAAGATTATAAGGTTCGAAATTAATTTCAATAGCAGGGTTTTATCATTGTAATATAATTTGATCAGCAAACCCCTAGCTGGCCAGAAACCCAGGAGGGTTCTTTTATCCTGGATAGCTATGCTTTTTCTTCTAACTGTCCTGCTTAAAAAAAAAAAAGAAGCCATTCTCATGCCTTCTTAAAGCGGACACATAAAATATCATTTAAACTCTTCTTAACATACATGACTCATTGTGAGCATCAGTTACTATGCTACAAAACAGAGTCCTGAAGACCCAATAAAATACATAAACTTTCACTAAATGCTTAAAGCAAACACATTCAACTTAAAACCCCAAGTTTGGAATACTTGCATCTCTTACATTTTATTTTACTTTCTTTTTAATTTTTTTGTTTGTTTCTTTCATTACTATTTCTTCATACTGTTGCTTGACAAAAGAACTTTAATTATCCTTTTACAGTAGTTTATGACTCTCTTCCAATTTGCTTTTAGAACTTCTATAAACAAAAGCAGAGTCCTAAAAAAGGGTCTGCAATCACCTTCAACAATCAAACTGACTGAACCGTAGCTCATGGGCTTATGACATCTCTCTTGGTTTACCTTTTGTAATTCTGCATTCCAGATTGTTGTGGTACTATTCTAACACCCACCAGCTACAGAGCACATGTTACTGTTTAGCTGATCTCATTTTCTACTCAATACTTTCCGGTACACTTAGAACAAGTCAAAGGCTTTGGCCAGGTCTAACCCCAAATACCAGCCCTGCTTGTTCACCTAGCTGGGGTTTCCTGCCCTGCCTGCCCAGTACAACTGTAGATTTGCAAATATACTTCGACTCCCAGGGAAACAGAATGAAGAACAGCCTGTCATAGGCTGTCTGATGGGCAGCACGGAGGGCAGACAAAAATCTGAAAGACACCTGGGAACTCAAAGAGAGCATGAAGTAAGAGACAAGTTAAAAGTTATCCACTTGTCACCCAGCTTTCTTAATGTTATCTTTGATCAAGGCGGTCCTGCAATCTGCCAGGACTTCTTCACACTAAATGCATCTTCTTCTTGCCTGTACCTTTCACACACTAAGTGACTCCATGGCTTACTTGGCAAGAGCCCAAGGGCAGCACACACTTCTCCACACCAATGAGGATGGCTGCCACTAAAACGCAATGGGTGGAGACAGCTCAATAATAGTGCCAGTTGAGCACATCTTGATTCACTGCCACAAAGCACATGGTAGTAGTTGCTATTGGCCCTCAAAGCGCACACACACACTAGGATGCCAAGAGCAAAAAAACTCTCCAAAACACCCTTAGCCTTAAGTGGCTAGACTTTGTCACCAAATTAACAAATCTGTCCAGCAGCCCTTGACTGAGCCACTAAGGAGTGTGACAGAAAGACTTTGTGTTAACAATTCTAGATTCTGTGGGGTATCTTAACAGAGTAGGGAGGGAGAAGAATGCTAAGTGTCACCACACACACCCTCCTCTCCTGCCTGCAGAAATCTCAGTGGGACAGCTGTCTGCCTACCTTGCAAAAAAAAAAAAAAAAGGAAAAAACCTCCACTATTTTAATGCAAGGATGGAAAAGGCCACCAACCTCTACAGGTCTTCTCAGCTTTAAAGAGCAGAGGTCCAGCAACTCCATCAGTACCCAAGGTCTGCTCTTCAATTCCACAGAGCACCCAGCCTCAGAGCAAAACTGACCCCTGGTGGGACAGGCACTCTTCCACTTCAGCTGCTCACCCAGAAGCATGAAGAAAAGCTAAAATCTGAGCCTTCACCTGAATTCAGAATTTTCTGCTTTGAATTAGGAACCTAGGGGCCCTGCAGGGGAGATTCCAACCTCCTGCAGGGACCAAGATGGGTGAGATTGCCCACTAAAAGTTCAGACAAGCAATGACTGGCTCAAAGAGACATGGGACAGTCTCAGATCAACACCAATCCAAAGCCAATACCATGCTGTGCTCAACAGGATACATATGATCTTTGCCCTGTGCTCTCACATTCAAGTCATTCAAATGATTCCTCCTTGTAGCACGTTCCCTGTTCCCAGCATGAGTGTGGGGCAAGCGCGCGTGTGCACGCGCACACACACACACACACACACACACACAATTACATAAAGACATCATAAACAACAGTAGCACCTAACTTCTGCAGTTGGGGGAGGGCCAGGAGATAGTGGGGGATTGGTTGGGCATAGGGTCTGATCATCAGTTGGGCTTACATAATCACACAAATATGGCTGGAGAACACTTCCCTGGAGATCAGTTTAGCAGATGCATCAGTCTCACTACCCCCCTCCCAGAACCAGAGGCAAGCCAGGGTTAACATGGAAGCACCCCATGTAGCTGGAGGGGGCAGGGATCTGGCTGCTGCCACAGCAATGTCAAAGGCTGCCAGAAACTTCAGGGTCCAAAACACAGGGCACCTGTTCCTTCAGACCCTCTTCCTGCAATCACTATCCCCAAAGTTCAAGGACAGGCCAAGCCACAGAAGTGCTGACTTGCAATGTAAACCAAACCAGTTGCTTGAAGGAAACCAGGCCCTGACCCCCAAGTTCCTTTACGCTACCATTTCTGTCCAAGCTATGGGGCACAGGCTCTCTGCCACACTTGGGAGTCTTCGGACAGCCTGGACCCCCCATTAGGAGCCAGCCAATTCAGCACCATTCCCGTTTCCATTTTAAACGATGGTAAATGTGGGGCATAAGTTGGAGAAGGGCCCCCCACTTTGCTAGTGGGAAGGCAAGAATCCCCACCAGAATAGGAGCATGTGCTTAGTTGGGAGTTCTGTGTTTGGGACAGAGGAGTGATTTTTTCTCTAGGAACATTTCAGAGGGGCAGGATTAAGGGGGAAAGGAAGGCTCTTCCCTCTGTCTCGGCACCCAGCATCATAGGAACCTCACTCTCAACCAGAGGATAGAGTCCTGAACAATCCTGGAGCACAGCCACAACAGCAGGGGGTAAAGGGCCATGCCTTTGACGACAGCTAAGGTTCTGGTAGCTCAGAGCCCAGTTCCCGGCACAGCACGCCGGCCTCGGGCGAGCCAGCGCTGGAGCGAGCTCAGGAGCGCGGCGCACACAGGGTTACAGCCCAGCCGCCGCCGCCGCCGCTGCCGGTGATTGACGCGCGGGGGTCACTTGAGGCTCGCGCAGCTCCCCCAGCACAGGCAAGCGGCGCGCTCAGCCCACCCGGGGCACCACGGCCGCCCACCCAGCCGGCCCCTGCCCTTGGCCTCCCGACACCTGGCGTAAGAAAGGAAGCGACAAAATGGAATCGGCAGCTCAGCTCCTTATGGCACTTTTCCGTGGCGGCCGCAGGCAAAAACACAATCGTAAAATAAAGCACAAGGAATCCATCCGCCGAATAAAAACCCAGAGTCCCCTACCTTCGGCCTTGGGATGGCAAACGGGTCCTGTGTTCTCTGACCCACGGATCCAGCCCCTTCTTCATGAATTATTCCGGCCAGTCGGGATATTGTGCATTTTTTTCATGAACACCTGTTTCAAGTAAGGGGTAAAGACCTTATTGAAAGAATTGTCCTTAAAAAACAGCCTGTGCCTACGTATGTCCATCCAGGCATGCATGCGTGTTTGTATACACACGTATGCACACGGAAGATCCATGTACATTGGAGCACCAAACTAGGCAGTGGGATAATGGGAGAGTCGGCTGGTTGTGAGCATGCTCGCGCCGGGAACAGATCCACCCTCTGTTATTCCTCTGAATAAATATAAATCACCATCAGAAACCCAAACAGAAGCATCCCTCTTGAATTCCTGCTGCTGAAAAACACGGAATAAATTCAGCCCGCAGACACAGAATCTAATCAGCAGCTGTTTTCTGAATCCAGAGCCAACCCATGCCTGGCTTGTCTTTTCCACTAGGAGTCCAGGCCTTTTTTGAAAGGGGTTTTAACCTTTTAAAGATACAGTACACCAATTATCACTTCTGAACAGCCATCCTTTGGAGTGCAGGAAGCCAGTTCCATGCCTACAACCACACAGGGCAGGGTGGCAAGCAATGACAATGATTTTATTTATTGGTGCCCTTTAAAAAGTACATTGCCTGTGTTTCACATACATGCATGCATATAAAAGGCATATATATATGGAGAGAGAAAATATGCAAATGTAAGGCATAAGACTAGGCATACATATTCATTGCCTGATGAGCTTCTCAGTGATGAACTGGCATATTATGTAAACACTATGATCCTTCACTTCCGAACACACATGTTCTCTTGGTCAGATGATCAGGGAACTCTTGTCAGCACAGGTGCCATCCTGCACCGGCCCGCTTACTGCTCATCAAGAGCCAGGATGCCTGCAATAGTGGCTGAAGGAGGTGGGGACCTATGCGGCCCCAGAGTTCACCACAGGGCACTGCTTGCCAGCCCTGCAGTTTCCGGGTCCATGTCCTCAACTCAAAGGATAATTCTGACACTGTTTCTCAACTCTAACATGATCTAGGACCAGACTGTGTTCCAAGTCATAATTTTTTCCCACCAGAATGGGGAATCAAAACTACCACCTAAGACTTCACTAAAGTAAAAAAGAAAAAAATAATAATAATAAAATAAAAGTAAAAAAAAAAAAACTACCACCTAAATCATAGTGTATCAAAAATTGAGATTTGCCCTTCCTCAAGATTTCAATTAGCTTTTGTTACTTTGTTTTTATTTTTACTCTTTTTTTAAAGAGTAGGATTGAGCATGGAGGTAGAAAAAAAGGGTAGAGAGATAAACCACCTCCAGTCTAAATTAAACAACAACAACAAACAATCAAAAAACCTCACCAAGTACTTTAGCCACCCAGATGGTGTTTATTCTAGTTTTTCTTTGGCTTTTAAAGAGGTAACACTGAGAAGAAGCAAAACTTCTAACCTTACTCATGTTTGAAAGAAAAACAAATGCCTTTTTCTGTTGTATTTTTTTTTTTCCACACACATTCCTGCATGGCATCCTGGCCCCTGCAAGCCCCACAACTTCAGAATGGAGTGGCCCTACTCTCCCCTGGTTCTTGCCCATTAGCCACAGGGGCCACCAGGCTCACCTCCGTGGTGGTATTCCTACAGTCACTCCAGGACAGGTCCCTCCAGCTCTAGCACTAGCACCTACTCCCTCCCTTGCCCAGTTCTGTCAGGCACACTACTGACATCAGTGTGTTGTCACTCTCACCTGGTCACAGGCACTGTCTGCTCTGTCCTCCCCGACACTCATATACACACACACACACACAAACACACACACACACACTCTCTCTCCCATCCCTCCCCCCACTTCCAGGGCTCTTTAGCAGAAAATTATCATATTTCATGTGTCATCGCCCTAGCTAGCTGGGCCTGTCACCGATTGGCTGGGCACTGGCAGCCGGAAATGTCACCAGCCACACAGCACGGAGCTGGCTCTCCCTCAGTCACCACAGACCTGAGCCCAGGAGGCTCAGTGACAAGGCACAGACCTACCACAGGGAGCCTGTCACTCTCTCTCAGCCTCGCCTTCACCCAGCACTGGGGGAGGGAACAGCCAGGGGAGGAGGTGGGAGGGCACCCGCAGTGAGGGAGGGAGCTGTGTGTGGAGAAGAAACCAAAGATGTCTCCATTCGGATTGAAAGACCTGGAGACAGTGTTCCTGACAAAAAACATTCTCTCTTCACATAAAGTAGACAAATGAGGACATTTATCCCTCCATAAATGATTACATCTGAAAAAAAAAAAAAGAAGAAGAAGAAGAAGAAAAGAAAAGTCGGGAAGGCTGGGTGTAAACAAGATCTCTACTCGTGGGAGTTCATCTGCTGGGCTTATTCCCCACCTAACAGCACGTGTCCCTGGTGGAGAACCACGGTATGCCGGGCTGGCCGGCAGTCCAGAAAGTGATTCTGGTCCATCCGGTTACCTTTACAGAGAATAGCAATTAACCCTCCAGGAAAGGAGGCGTCTCAGCCTGGCTCTGCAATGCCTTATAAAGCCCACAACTTTTCAAGAAGCAAATGGTCTTTGTGACCACAGGAGTCACTTGCATTTGCCACCTGTGAGTCTTCTGCTGGTTTAACGAGACTGAGCACTTAAAGGTCCCTTCATTCTCTTCTCCTGACTAAACTACATGCTATGTCTCTGGCCCTTTGTGTAAAAGTTATTTCTCAAATCTTTCATTATATTTAGGGTCTAAAAGAATCTTCCCAGAGAGTCAACTCTGCCATCCCCATGATGTTTCAGTCCCCTAGCCTAGTTCCACAGTGTGGCTTTTGGTTTGGGGAATGATAAATTGGGCTCCTGTGCTTATCCCTTTTCCTTCCGACCCCGCCAAACCACTTTCATGACCAAAAACATTAGTAGCCATGCTGGGACACAAAGAAAAATGCCTTCAAGAAATCAGAGATTTTAGCAGGATGCAGTGGTGCACACCTGTAATCCCAGCAGCTCAAGAGATGAGACAGGAGGATCGAGGTTCAAAGCCAGCCTCAGCAACTTAGCAAGGCACTAAACTTAGTAAGACCTATCTCAAAATAAAAAGCAATCAATAAAAAGAAAGTAGATCTTTTGAGGAATAAGGGGAAGATCCAAAGTTGACAGGGCAAGGGTGAGGAAAGGCTGCTTCACGGTGATAAACTCATGGTTCTGCACGGGCCCCTGAAGAAGTAAGTACTTGGGTTTCCAAGTTCAGAGAATCCAGACTGGACAAGGGTCATGGGCACCGATGCAGGAGTATATTAAGGACATCAAGAACAAGGACAGTTAGCTCCACACAAAGTAATTGTACACAGAAGTTATTTCACAGCTTCTTTGGAAAGTGGGAGGTTTGTTACTAATATAAAAAGGAGCCAGAGATTGAATAGGAGCAGGACACCAGCTCTTTTGGCAACACCATTAAACACACATGCTTGTGCGTACACACACACACACACACACACCACAAGATAAAGAAACTGAAATAAGCAGAAGAAAACAAGATGTTACAGAGAAGGGCTGGGGTTGTGATTAGCAGTAGATTACCCGCCTAGCATATGTGAGGCCCTGGGTTCAATCCTTAGCACCACATAAAAATAAATAAATAAATAAAGGTATTATGTCCAACTACTATATATATATATTTGAATATATATGAATACATATAAAATATATGTATATATGTAAATAAAATCTTATTTAAAAAAAAGACGTAACAGAGAGATCCAGAACATCCAATATTACTCCAACAGGAGTTCCAGATGGAGACAACACCATCAATGAGGAGGAGAGCAATGACCAAGGAAGCAAGAGAAGACCATTCCCTTGAGCTAAAGAAAGAACTCAGGGCTCGGATCATATCCTGTCTGGGCAGCAGGATCACTGAACAAATACACACTTCTTGATGCAGTCTGCTACCCCAAGAACAAAGACAAACAACCACAAGCTTCCTCATAGGGGAGAACAATCCGGCTGCTTAAAAGGAAATTAAACAGACTGACCTCCTACTTCTCGTCTGCAACACTCTGCTCAGAGACACCGACAGAGTTTTTAAAGAATTCCAAGGGAATGTTATTTGAACTCAAGAGTTCAACTGCTGCCTGACTCTAATTTCCCTCTTATGTGATGACAAAATAAAAGTATGTTTGAAGACACAGAAATTACATCCCTCAAATACCCCTTATTAAAAAAGAAAAAAAAAAACTTTTTTTAGAGTAAAGATCTCTTCAAAGCAAGAATAATGAATTCAAGAAAAGAGAAGATCTGTTATATAAGAAAATGTAATGAAGAATAAAACCAACAAAATATAAGACTAAGCATAATAATTGTTAATGAGGTTGTAAACTTTGTTAGAAATTTTGAAAAATCAGATATAAAAGATTTAAATACATAGTTGTTCCCACAGTCTGCAGTTTCACTTGCTTCATTTCAGTTACCCATGGTCAAGAAGAAAAAGGTAAGTATAGTGAAATGACATAGACAGACCATATCTGCATAATGTTAATTACAGTGTCTTGTTATAATTATTCTATTTTATTATTATTGCTGTTAACCTCTTCCTGTGCCTAATTTTTAAAGGAGATTATATATATATATATCTCATTTATAGGATCCAGTACCATCTGTGGTTTCAGGAATTCTCTGGAAAGGGTCTTAGCACACCCCTCTGGATAAGAAACTATTATTGTATAATCTCTATCTATCTATCTATCTCTCAGATATAAATGTCTGAAATTAAAATTCCATATTATTTTTTAAAAATTAGAAAATCTCAGTTGAGACAAGTAAGTGAAATCTGTCTATAGAAAGTGTCTGACAACAGGGCTGGGGATGTGGCTCAAGCAGTAGCGCGCTCTCCTGGCATGCGTGCGGCCTGGGTTCGATCCTCAGCACCACATACAAACAAAGATGTTGTGTCCACCGAAAAACTAAAAATAAATAAATAAATAAATATTAAAATTCTCTCTCTCTCTTTAAAAAAAAAAGAAAATAAAGTTTCTGACAACAGAGTTTGTGAATGGTAAGTCATTAAAAGACAGAGAAATAAGATGAGAGGATCATCCTGGCAGGAGATGATTCTATTCTGTTCTATTCTTCCCAAGACCCACATTTAAAGTGATGATAAGGAATCTTAAGTTGAAATACTCAATGAGAAGAAAATAGTAGAAGAACCATTGATCAGGAAAATTGAAAAAGAATAGAGGGGGACTTAATATATCAGCTAGAAATATATACTTTAACGCTATAGTAAATAGTACAGCATTGCTCATGGCAGAGATCTACATCTAGGCATAGATCTGAAAGAACAGAATGAAGTCAAGAAAATCTAGTTTCCTATGGGAAGGTCAGGTATAAAAACAGTTTTAAATCAGGGAAGGAAAGAATATATTATGTAATAAATAGTATCACACTGCAGCTATATATTTGAAAATCATTCTTTTACCTCTCCTACCTTAT